AAGTGTAAGCAGTTATTTAAAAGAATTGCAGTGGTTCTCGATGGTCAAGTATAGGCAATAAGGCTATGGACTGAACATAGTCGGTACGCACGTGGAGGAGGCAACAGGAAGATAAACAGTGACCGCCAAATACTATATATATATATATATATATATATATATATATATATATATATATATATATATATATATATATATACTAGTCTCAGTCACGCAAAATGATACTTTTACGTCATTGTGAAATAGATAACTTCAATATCGTTTATCGATTTTATTTAAGCACCTCGAAGTTACTAAGTTTTTATACATTCACTCAAAAAGGTAAAGTATTTTCCAATTAAATAAAACTTCTTGTTCAAAGTAACTTTTTGTAGACTAAATTTTTTCTAAGAAATCAGGTGATCTATAATAATCTCTTAATTCTATATGATTAGCAAGTAATTTCCATATCAGAGCGTGTACAAAGTGATCAATTTCACACATAATACAACACATGATAATAATTCCAAATCCACAATAAAATCACTGATTTTAAAACTAATTCATCATACATCAATCATAGTTACATTTGATTAGTTGTAAACAAACAACATTGTCCTAAAACTTTTACTTATCACAACTCAGTAGCTTGATGATGATAACTTCCATTGTCTATCACATTAGAAATTATTATTCAGAGACAGAAGTCTATTTTGACATTTTTTGTTTTCAAACTGGCTTGTTCAAAAATTTCACCTCGTCCAGAAACAATCATTCCTGAAGATTGAACTAATATAAATGAATATAAAGGAAAATATTTAATATATCAAGGCTGTAAATGTTCACTTATTGGTTACCGAATTAGCACGGATCTCGTGAATTAAAAATAACGAAAATGTATTGGAACTAAATAGCAAATATAAATGCAATGTATATTTGATTTGTATAATCTTTCCCAGTTAATCATATATCATATGATTTATATAACATGGTTTTGTATAAATTACAAATCCAATGACTTGGGCTAATATCAAACTTAAAAATCAAAATGGAATTCAATTATCACGAACTGGGAAATGAGAATTTGTATATTACTTGAAAAACCTAGCACACCCCTGTACATTTTCCTTTACTTGTACAGTGTACTGTCATTGATTAAATTCCAAGATATTTATGAAAGTAATTTAATTCCTGAACGAAATTTACTAGGACATAATGTGTAAATATGAAAGATTCTTACTTACTTACGCCTGTTACTCCCAGTGAAGCATAAAAAAGGTCACGTTTTCATGATAAATTAGTAATTATTCTTGATTGAATAACGTGTTATGTTTCTTCTATGTATAAAATTGAGACCATAATCATTACTCACTTAGGCATGTTACCTCCAATGGAACATAGGCCGGTGACCAGCATTCTCCAACCCACTTTGTCCTGGACCTTCCTTTTTAGTGGCTAACAGCTTTTCATGTTGACATGCTGTTAAGTATTGCTGATTTGGACACTATATTCGTTCCTAAGCTATCCTGATAACCCGCACGTATGAGCGGTCTAGAGTTCTGATTAGTCCCGCTTCCCTGTCTAGCCCAGCCAGTTGAGTCCAGAACACAAGTCTCAGCCTCTGAGATATGAATGATTACATTTCAAACATATTCTGTTTATATACCAATCAAGCAGACCATATCGTACCATAAAATAGAAAATAACATTTGTACAATATTTGGCCAACAGGAAAATGACACGTGAAATAATTATTGTCCTATAGGAAAATTCTACCATCTCAAGTCCAAGGATAGCATTAGACTTAACAGAATAATTTTTGGGATATTTTTCTGAACATCCCAACACCTGCGATCTAAGTGGTTAATACAATTAATTTAGCTATAACTCTTTAACCATACACACACATTCTAACTGTCAATAGCCCTCTATTTTTCTCCGACAATGTCGATGCTTACTTATTTCAACCGGTTGGTAGATTGGCTTTATTGACTGCCAAATGACCTGAATAAGAACCTTCTAAAAATCAACTCAAGGCTTACCCCAAATCATATCTACATCGATCAACATCCATAAATTTGAGGTGAGATATTTCGTGAGCCATTGCAGCTAATCGATGTCTAAATAGAAGGGAAACAGGTCTACCACTTTTTCCAGTTAAGCGTTGTATTTTTATGACTGCAATTTATTATTTAGATGATATTTGACTTATCGACCATTTTCATTACATTCCCCAGTTTTTAATATAAATTTAAACTTTATGTACATGTCAGTTATAGTAACGTGGATAGTCCACAATCATTTGTTCCTCTCTAACGACAGAGGCCTTTATCACGATGAACAAAATAATCCGACAGTTGATTTTTACGCGTGACTTAATAGGTAATAATGGGTTTCATAAACTTTTAAGAAATTATATGAACAACAGATCTTAAACTCCGGATCTTAGAAAAGAATTGTGAGTCGATTAATGAGTCTTCAACGTATTTTGACTGAGATGCATTTGAGGCATGTTTTACGAATTCTTAAATTATGTCTCTCCTAGTGCTGGTTATTGTAAGTACGTTGAAGGCTAAAAATGATCAAACAAAGACATCAATACATGATTTTAATGACTTGTAGGCATATGGGGAGATGGAAGCTTCTTAATCTGAGTCTACAAGATAATAGTAATTAAGGTTTTATTCCTTAATATATATTATTATTATTTTGGATTACATTAAATATGCATTCATCCTTTTGACCTCCTCGTCACGTCGTTTCTATGAAACATTGAAACTTTAATCACAACATTCTCTTACTAAATTCGGTATTATCTACGACCTACTTATTTCCATCTACGTAGAACCGAGTAAACTACAATAACAATAGTGTATATATCATCAGAGTGTGAGCCTTGCTATATTACTCTCTAATCAATATCGCATATGTAAGTTGTTACTTATGTACCCAATACTTGAAACGCCAAATTGCTTATCTTACAAACAATTATCAAGAGTCGTATATTCAAAATGGTCATTAATCTAGATATTACTTAATTTAACATATGAAAAAGAATTCTTTTTGATATTCCATTATTTGAGAAATTGCTGTATTAATACAGATTTGAGATAATTACCCAATAGTTCATCAATATAACTTTAACCTATTTCATTAATATATAGCAAAATAAACTTGCCAATATTCTATATCAAACTACATGTAATATTCACATGTGTTACCATCACATGACTATTTTTTAGTTAGACATAAAAGTAAAAACTTAATGACACTATTATGATCACATGTAGTTCTTAACCATTTCTTGAAATCACTTATACATTAGAACAAACCTTGAATAATGATTATGATGATAAGTTGAAATCATGAGTCAATTGAAGCTAGACCACCATGGAAAATCTGGAAGCACTGGACGGCCGTTTCGTTCTAGTATGGGAGAAGTCATTACCAGTGGAGTTCAACCAGGTCTGTTGTGAGATAGTAACTCACTGAAGACCATGGTGTACGGTGGAGCAACTTCGTGGATTGGTTGAAGTTAGACATTAACACCGTTGGATGCCGACTCAGTGGTCTAGTTGGTTAAGCGCCTGGAGCGAGCCCGATATGTCCTGGGTTCGAATCCCGCGAGGCGGGGTCGTGGATGCGCACTGCAGAAGAGTCCCACAGTAGGGCAAAACGGCCGTCCAGTGCTTCCAGGTTTTCCATGGTGGTCTATCTTCAATTGACTCATGATTTCAACAAGTGAAATTTCTAAAAATCTCCACAAAACCCATTCTAATGATGGTAAGATTGTAATTAGAGTTATTGCATAATATTTTTTTTATTATATTTAACTCGAGAAAAGATAATTATCAATTTCATCAAGAAAATAAATAAAAAGTAGAATGGAGGAGGAGAAAAAAAAACAAGTAGCTAACATGTGTAAAAACAACAGACATATTGACTCATAAACATAAAATGGGAAAATAGCTTGATAATTTTAAGCAAAATAATGAATTTATTTATTGAATGAACAACACAAGGAGATATGTACTTGGATATACGTATCCAGTGTTATATATATAAATGTTTGTATATACACATCAAGCAGATATAGTATAAATATTCTGTATTATATCGATTAAGGTGTACTCAAGAGACCGATAACATTAAATATTAGTAAATTACAGAGAAAAAGGAATATCAACATAAAAATGACAATAGTTGTATTATTGATGTTAAGGGTTACTGAGAAATATTTGTTCTGTTGATAATACAATAATTGAAAAATATATGTGTATATGTATATGGATGTTTCATCATAGTCATGGATGATAGATATGATTTTATTGCAGATTTGATCGATGTCATGTTTTCAATATGAAGTTATATATAACGTTTAAGAAATGAATCATTTCAGCAAATTGGCGCTTTTAGCATAAAATATTGAAGAATATTATTACAGTAAACTTTTGTATACATTGAATGGTAACTATTTACATATATTTTTTTAATATTATGATTATTCACATTACTGATGATAGTAGTATATTCTTTTAATTCAGTGGTGAATTGGTTTGAGTAAAACAAAACAATAAGATGATTGTAACCACTGCATTTGTGGTACAAGCGAATGAAAATAATGAAATTGAGAAAAAAAGTGTTATTAATAAGTTAGCTTAAAGTGAGATATTCACATTCGTCGATTTATTTTATAGCTTGAATATCCACTGTTATGTATCTTGAAACATATCTTGAATGAAGTAACGTCACAGTTGATGGTAACTTTTCTTTTGGGGGGGATTTCGTTGTGATATTTTTCAATGATAAAGCATTAGTATGAAACAATGTTAACATGTACAGAATAACTTAACTGGCATATTACGATTTAACTGAATATGAAATTATAGAGGAAAGAAGGAAAGTGAATAATAGAGGAGACAAGACTTTAAACATCAAGATGACTTAAATGCATACATTTAATTTTATATGATCAAACGTAGAATACTCATAAACGAAATAGAAGATTCAAAAAAGTTTTATTAAACTTGACTACATAATCTAGTTTCTTGATTTTCATCGGTTGATAAATGAGATGTCAATAATAACGGTAACTCTTCCATAGAACTAGGTTGACCATTAATGAAAGTGTCACCAATCATGACATTATTATTGTTACAGCTACTACCGGTTATTCTACTTGACTGATTATTTTTACTATTATTATTATGTATATCTGTTAGTACATTGTCAATCATTTCAGGAATTGTCGATTGACCGACAGATGTATTTGGATACAAAGAGTATATATTGGAATTATTGTTGTTGTTTGTATTATTATTTGTAGAGATATTTCCATGTCTCAAATAACCTGAATTGTTCATAAATGTATTAGATGATTTAGGCAAATCGACAGTGTCTACTTGATTTTTACCAACATTTTGTAATTGATTTTTTAACAATAAACTAGAATGAAATGTAGGGAATGCATTATCATATGGTCCACTGCCATAAGTAATTGTACCAACTTTATCTTTGTCAATCGATTTTTCGTCAAATGAACTACCCTCTGTTGTAATGGTATGCAATAAGCTTGATACATTTTGATTATAAGATGTAGTTCCACTAGTTGAATTAATATCATCTTTAAATGTTACTCTTGGTCCATTTGAAGATGAAGATGGTACTTTAGTTAAAGTCAATGAATTTCCTGTATTTTGTACACTCGAATTCATTAAACCGCATTCCCCAGGTGATAATACTGTGGTATTTTGATGTGACCGTAAACATATCACCTCGTTCGACGCACCAATTCTTGGAAGATTACCATATGATTCAGTTGCTGTAGTTGTTCGAGAATCTGTAGATGTTAGATTCGGGAAACGATTTATTAATGAAAACGAATTTGAATGTCCAACTTTTGGTGATGTGAAACCGAATCCTGGATAAGATGGACCTCCCTGTATAGAAATTTTATCTATAAAGAACAAGTGAAGGATATTACTGAAAAAGATGAAAAGTATCTAACAAAACTGATTATTAAAGGATTATGGAAAATTACAAGATTTTCTATTTTCCAATATAAATCTGACCATAACTTCGGTTGACAGAACCTTTCATTCTAAATTGTTTGTGAGAGCGAATCACATCTACAGAAAAGTGTATGCACACATCTACTTTAAATTTCAGAACGGTTAAGTTAAATTAGTCCTAACAATCTTGTCTCGTTACATTCTAACATATTTCATTTGTTTTATCAATTGTTCATCTGTTTTATCATTATTGCCATTGTTATGTATTCTCACTCTGTTAGGGGGGACTAAGGTTATCTAGTATTTGTTATTGCATCTTTCTTTAAAGGATAACCTCAACGACATTTTTCAAATTCAAATGCCCGCAATGACCTTTGTTATTATTTGATCGACTGTTGTTAACTTTAGTTTACTAATTTTTCTATGTCCCAAGGTTATCGGACGTTACCATGAAGAAAATGTCTGTACATTTCAATATTTAACTTCTATATGGAATATAAGCTGTCCAGAAAGCCCTATCTTCTTAATCATATATTAGTGTGTGGATTAATAGCGCCTAAATGTTGTTGTTTCAGTCACAATTCTATCGAGTCAGTCATAGAACAAGTTCATGTTAAAACGAATTCTAGTGTTTCTTAATTATCAAGCATCGTAGGTCTTTACAGAACACAATCTGAAAATAGAACACACTCCTGCTTACAATGATTATCGTTTAGCTGCTGAACGAACAATCAGATTGTAAACCTTTATTTTGTAGTTGTATATAAGGTTTTAGTTCTCATATGTCTATATTTTCTAAATATCCTGATAATTCATTTTCCAATTTGTTTTATTTATTCTGGGTAAAACGTTGTCACCGTATTCATGGTAAACAAGTTTATTAAACTACAAATCTATTCATCATATTAATAGTTGCATATTAATACAATCGTACAATATTTGAAAATTAAATTGTCAAATTAACTTTTCTTCTGCGAAATATTTGCCCCTAAAACGACTTGGGTGATAATAATAAGTAACTAGCCTTACCAGAATCTTTTATAACTCAGTAAGGTTTTTTTTAAAGCTGGCTACTTGGTAGGTCTTCAAATTTTATGATGCCACTATGAAAGCCATTTAAAATATATTCATGCTACTGAATTGTTTATCAGTAGAATGAAATTAAATCACGAATTTTCTAAGCACTGGGATAAAGATTTTCTGAGGAATATATTTACCTGTAAGGGACTTTACACTGAGTCATAAATCATATTCAGAATATTTAAATATTCTCAACTGAAATTAGTTTAATATCTTTATTCTAGTATTTAGTGATGTCACTATCAGCCTGTTTTTGAAAATACGTGTTTAATCTACAGTCGCGCTCAATTTTAGCCTCCTTGTTAATCCCAATTGATCATTTATTCATTAATTATACGCATATCAAAATAGTCGTTTAACCTTTTGTCATTTCTTATTATTGATTGAATTTATTATCTATTAGTCTGTTGGGAACTCTGAAATTGAAATTTAACTGAGTGTAATGGCTTCAGTAGTTTGAAATTTATTTCAAAGCTGGCTGTTTATAATTTCTTGCTAAAAAGCTATAATCTTAGTTTAAAAAACTATGTTATGCTAAAGAGATATATGTGTAACACACTTCCATATTCAAATCTATTTAAATGCGTTTTGATGATATGCTATATACTAAATAATACTGAATCTAGTATTTATGAGTCTACAAAAGTAGTTATTACAATGAATAGAAGAAAAAGGACTACTTTCAGAAAAAAACTAGAAACAATTTCAGTAAATGGTTTAAATTGGTTTTCTGAAACAATATGACATGTAGTGATCTTAATATTGTTTCTCAACAGATATTCACATTGATAATGATAATTCAAAGACTGTATATAAATGTTAGTTCATTGAATCCGCTGTGATAAAAATTACCAGTAGAAGTTCTTACAACAAAATTATATTTTACCAATAAATAAACATAGTTCAAAAGACATTCTTGTTTTTGAATATGGATAGAACATGTAACTTACTTGCAGGTTGTATTGTACTCATTGAATTTTCATCATCATCTACTCCACCATGACCTGAAGAACTGGACGATAGTTGAGTATTATTAGTTGCGTTATCATTGTTAGAATTATTATTAAGATATCCTGAATATAAATTCAATGTAGGATATTGGAGCTGACTAGTTGATGACGATATTGTGACTGGTGTCAATGTTTGTAATCCAATACAGTCATTATGATTATTATTATTGTTATTGCTATTCCCATTATTGTTGCTAGAGCTAACAAGAATTGGTTGACCTATATTAGAAATATTATTTGAATTCAGGGCACTTTGAAGGCAAACATAGTTATTCCCACCTAAAGCATAAATATGAAATGTTTTATTGTAATCATGTTGAATTTTAAAGAAGTAATAATTTAGGTACTATGCATAACAAAGAGAAGAATATCTAAGTCTATGCGTGTAGGTGTGACGACATGAGTACTTTATAAGCATCCGATTATGAAAAAAACATTTTCATATTGTAATAATCATTTTGAATTTGATATTTTACAAAAATTAATAACTTTTCATATACCTTTTTTCAAAAGTTTTAGGGTTGAATCATCGACATAGGTTTTAGTTAATAATATAACTCCAGGAATCAATCCACTGTGGAGTGAAGATAGTTTTTATGATCTACTTATGTCTCTCAAGATATCATTAGAAACTGTCATATGATTCTTACTTAGTAATACTAACATTAGGAATATGATTGATAAACTATGTTGGCGGTTTAGGTAACCTACTTATAAATGTAACCAAAAATTGATAAGAATCTGTTGAAAAAAGCCGTACCGTATATTCTTTGAATCAAATGGCTCAACATAATTGGACAGTATAAATCATGACTAATTGTATTACCATGACTAGTATTGAATAATCACATGTTATTTCGTGGTTTATATTTATTCGTTAACTGAAAGTTAACTCATAGTTATACTTTTTCGGATATATATATATATATATATAATGTTAATTTCGTAATACATATATGTATATACTCAACTATCTTGCCCGTGTTTCTTCTATTTCAAGTCTATTTGAATTGGATTTAAGAAACAGTTCTATCAGTAAATTATCAATTCGAACATCACAATAATTGAAGTATTAAGTAATTTATATATTTCAATCTCAACAACTAGCTTCGTTAGCTGCCGATTTCAAGTGGCATTTTATTCTACTTAGTTAAAGTAACTGTACCATAAAAACATTAGTGGGCTTCATATCAAGATGAAAGATTATGGTTTCTACAGAGCAGGTGAACAGTAATTTTAAATATGAATGTTGCACTCATAGTATTAAAGCAGAACAATGTACATTGGTTGAATGTCTAATATGATATATATACAACACAATACACTAATAACTTATAACTTGTTTTTTTCTGGTCATTATTAATACTTTTCGAAAATTTTGGGAAATATTCATTTGGCTTAAATAAGTTTGTACATTAAATGAAATTATGCGATATATGATCAGAATAAATATGGTTAATATGGAGGTGAAAGAGATAGTAAAATAATTACAAATGAAAAATTACGTAATATGTAGAATAATATGAATTAGTAAATAGAGATGAATGTTGATTAAATTAATAATACTCATTATTATTATTACGATTATTATTATTATTATTATTATTATTATTATTATTATTATTATTATTATTATTATTATTATCAATGTAGGTATTAGTGCCAAGGTTGGACTTGTTAGCTTCAAATTAATTGAGTATTGGGGGAAAAGTTAATGATAAATATATTATTTGTTATATTCCAATAAGTAAAAAACTTGTATTTCTGACGCTTCGTGACTTAATGTAAGCCACTTCTTCAGAATAAATAAATAACCGGAATAAAATTAGTACAAGTTTAAATAATACATACAAAACAATGTAAACTATTTTTAGTACAATTAAAATCGTAATAAGTCTGAATATGACAATCTCACGTCATTTTTGGTCACTATTATTATTATTATTGTTGTTGGGTCGGCCTCCGGAGAACTTCAACGGAGCCTACAGAGGCCGGAATAGCTTAGGAACAAGTATAGCGTTCAGTTGACAAGACTTATCAATTATTATTATTATTATTATTATTATTATTATTATTATTATTATAGTACCTGCAAACGTTCTGAGAAAATTATCCAGTATCTACTTTTATTTACTAATTTGTATCTAATTCATATTATCTTGAACTTTCATTTATTAATGTTTGAATTTAGTACTCAAACAGATAAGATGCAAAACTGTTCTCGATTGATCTTTTATTATAAGAATGAAGAACATTTACGAGCATCATATATAAAACTTGATATTCTGTTACATTATAAAAACTTTTCTAGTCATTTTATTTCCTTATGCTTATCACAAATCTAACAATGTAGAGAGTGTTCACTTGATTTATTAATTGATTCTTAACGACAGAAATGTTTATTTAATTAAATTTAAACTTCTTGATTAATGAAGCCAGTTTATTTTAATAACACAACTAAGACAATCAATCAACTAAGTTTTACATATATTAGTTTCCTTCAGTAAGCATAAAACTAGCCATTCAATTTGTCTTTGTCTTTATGATATTAAAATATATAATTTCTGTAAGAGAATGAAGTGTCAGTAGAATGATTCATTATATTGACAAAGTTTCTGATTCATTACACAATATTCAATTCTAAAAACATATCTATCTTACCACTTTGTCTACTACCTGCCTCAGCGTCTTCAATACCATGCTCTGCGTTACGTGTATCTATATTACTACTAACTTGATTATTAGGTCCGATTGATGAATTCACTAAATTAGAAGTATTATTATTACTAATCATTTCTGGTGTAACTAGTATTTGTGCGTTCATTGGTAAACCGATACTTGAAGCACTTGCTGATATACCATAAAATCCAGTATTTCTATCATGAAAACATGCATAAATTGGGCTAGCCGGTACACCAACTGGCTGTGAACCATTCACATCAGTATGCATGAAACCATCATCAGTTGAGCCAAGCATGGTCATTTGTGTATGAATATTTGATGAATTTGGATTATGTAGTGTATTTGTCAATCGGTTATTAGTTCCATTCATTGGTATACCATAATTTGTTGATGTTGTTATTTGTCTTATTTGACTATTAAACATTGAATTTTGTATCATATCATTGACTGGTTGATAATTTATAGGTGGAATAAAAGTTATTGGTTGAAATCCAGTTGACAGTACACCAGGTGATGATACAGTTTGAAGTGGAAGATTCACCTTAAAAAATAATAAACAAACAAATAGATAAATCAAACATCTAAATGTGAAGCTTATGACGAATGTAAACATAGCTTACTGTAATATTTTTTAGTTACAGTATGAACTTTTAAATAGAATATTTTTGTTTTCAAATAAAACACGAATTTTAGTTAATATCTGAAGCAAAACTAAGTCAAATAACATTTATTATATTTATAAACAGAGTTGGATTGTGACTGGCAGTGGAAACCAGGACGTGTGTTTCGTCCTATCCGTGGGTTAATGGCAATATCGAAGTTATCCACAAAGGATGTGCATATGTCAATAAGATATGCCAAGCGATCGCAGTCCTAAAAATCACTGAGGTAATTCAAAAACCAATAAAAATAAGTTTACTTTAGTTGTTTTAGTTTAGCGTGGAACACTATGAGTGTATGTTTATCTTTAACTCCAACTAAAGAGTTGATACTATCAGGATTTAAAGATGGTAGATTAATGGCTTGTTTAAGCCTCTTTTTGCAGATTCTGAGTTAACCCACTCTTATAGTTTACATTCTCATGCACACTTACTGATGTCAAAAGCTTGTTTTTATTCCTTGTTATGAGAAATTATTTCGATCTAATGATTCATTATTTCTGTAATGTAAAATTAACTACATAACTGAAGAAACTAAAACTGTGGACTTTCATTTCATCCAATAAACTTATAAGGAGAAAATTATGAGTACACAGGGAAATTAAAATAATAATGAATTGAAGACTTGTAATTAGATGGTAAGTGTATTTTAGATGCTAGACCCTTTAAAATTTTACAAAAACTATTTTGGAATTCTACAATTGTATAGAAAACTTGAATCACTAGAAATCAAAATTCATGGATTAATTCTATGTGTGGTGTATGTGTGACTGATGTCGACAGATATAAGTAGTATGTGCCACCAATTTATAGTGAAATGCCTAGTGACAGAAGGCTAAGAAGATCGAAGAAAAGAGAATGAGAACAGAGAGTAATTGGTGTGGAAACGAAGGAACAATGAAGTCTGATACAACTGATTGACATTTTGTAAATGAAGTATTTACTGTATGGTTCTCAGATTTTATCAAGATATTCTGTAATGTTGTGTCCTAGTACATTTGGATGGCCTCACCTGTTTTCTCGTTCACCACATATGTATTAAGATTATCATTCTGTGGCTTCTACTTTCACAGTTTTTCAGTTTCGTGGTTTTTAGACATAGTGAGACAGTTACATATAGCATTTTCTCGTCATATTTCATTTGTCTGGTGATTTACATATGAGGTGGTTGGTTATTAATCTACTACAAGTAAAAGTATAGAAGTTTATTGTAAATTTCTTAAAAAGTCTTAGATAACTGAACTGTCCACCTAGTTAAAGATGTTTTTGATTTTAATTTAATGACTGAAGTGCAGTATTGTGACAAATATGCATAATCAGTATATACTAATCAATTCTGAAAAGTTTAATTATAAGTCAAAGTCTCTGGATAATGAAATAATTCCAGAATTTAATTACCATCATGCGACCAGCTAACTGTTGTGCAAAGCAAGCTTCATCATTTTTGTTTATTCAACATAATAAACCCCTGGTAAATTTATTATGCATATAGACTGAGATACATATTGACTGTGTTTTGATGTGTGTATAGATATTTAGTTATAAAAATAAATGATTCTAATGAATAGTATATTTCAAGTTTTCGTGATAAGTTTATAAGCAGAAATGATTTTGGCTGGCACTGGAATCCAGGACTTGTCAGCTGGATGTACTTGCATAACAAAGTTGATGCACACTCCTGGATTTCGCTGATAGTCACCATCATCTCTGCTTGTAATGCTTGTGACTTAAATCAATATCGAGGAAATGCTCACAAAATGTACATATGTTAATAAGAGACTGATCAACTTTAATCCTAAACGTCAATGGGAACATCCAAGCAACCAGTACAAAAATGAATTAAGTCTAAGTTTGCGATTTTAAATATCATATGATATGCAGAGAAAATTATGTTAACTCATTAAGAAATTGAATGATAATTGCCTGACAATGCAATAAATAACCTCCTTTATTTCTCCGGTTTAAAATCCTAAAATAAACAACCATCATAATTACTTGGTTTACATCGTCCATTTTTATTCGACTGCCACAACTTATGAAGTAGCTAGATCTGAATTACGCTACCGATATTTTCGCTTGTTTGGTCGTCTTTCAACAAAGTATTCTAACCTATAAATATTTTGAATCATTGTATATTTCGAATAATGGCTGAGTTCTACAAAGTCCGGACATCTCCTTGGAGTTTATAACAATTAAATAAAATTCTCCATTTTCATCAGTAACAACAATAAAAGCTTTTTCTATCACATTTATTTTTTGTCATGCAATTTACTCCTAATCGTTTGTTTACTATTTCAATATCATTTGGAATGGTTTGAAGTCAACTAATTTTTATCATTGATAGTCCTAACGAATAATAAGAGGTTTTCAATTTTTGTCATTAAAAAGTATGGATGTTGAAAAATGATCAGCTATGAAGTATGCTACTTAAATATGGTTGTAAATAGTATACAAATGTAATAGGAAAACAGAGATGTTGATGTAGATCATTGGACTTCGATGGATTTATGTATTTGTACTTCAAACAATCACCTTAATGTGATTTAGATGAGGAAATTAGTTTTCATTTTTGATGAAAACCAATTCATTCACCTTTATTCCGGATAAATTAATATATATCTAGATTGATATCATGAATGGATGAATGTTAGACCAATATAGAAAACCTGGAAGTAACGGACGCCAGTTCATCCTAGTATGGAACTCCTCATCAGTGAGAATCTAAAATCCCACACGCGAGACTTGAACAATCAACCTCTAGACCACTTATCCGGTATCCAACGGCGTAAATGTCTAACTGCAACCAATCCGTTAGCGACTAGCTTCAAGATAGATCTCGTGGAGTTCTAGTGAAAAGCCGTGAACAATGGGGTTCAATTGTGTCTGCTGTAATGCAGTTACTCACTGAAGACAACGGTGGATGGTCACGAAAAATCGTTAATTGGTTGAAGTTAGACATTACCATTGTTGGATGCCAGCTCAGTGGTCTAGAGGTCAGACGTTTACGTGCGAAACAAAAGGTTCTAGGTTCGAATCCCAAGAGCGGGATCATGGATGCGCACTGCTGAAGAGTCTCATACTAGGATGAACTAACCTTCTATTACTTCCAGGTTTTCACTTTTGGTCTAACATTGATCCATTCATGATATCAATCTAAACTCAATAAACACAACAACCCTTCACTGATATTATGTATCTATTCAAATAACTAGCGATCACAAACAAATACATATCAGCAATACGCTGACCAGTTTAACTACTTAAACCTCTTATTTCAAATTAAAATGATGATATCAGATAGATTGTCTGAATTGGATAAAATGGTGGTCTAAAATTGTTGGTTAACATTGAATAATCGGTTAACACAGATGTACAACATAGAATAGGTTATTTATACACATCGATAACCTATACCAGTCATAAAAAAATTATTTATGAATACAGATTGAAAATGTTAAAAGTAGAAATAAGTAAATATTCTATTTACAAACCCATCCGTCTACATATTATTATAGGCGTACGAGCGTGTATATGCCTATGTGATACTTATTTATACAGTTAGTTAGATTAAAAAACCTTATGTTCTTTATATTATTATTATTATTATTATTATTATTATTATTATTATTATTATTATTACTTTGGATTGGTGTCGACAAAAACGCAACAAATAAATTAATGATGTATGTTTGATTTTATTCCCAGTTTTTTTTCTTCTCGAACAATATTCTCTTATGGTAGTACGTTTAAGAGTTTTAATGCATATTCCCATATTCCTATGAATCACATTTCGGGCTCTTTTATTATGATACAAACTTATTTTAAACATTTATAAACATATCTTAACACACATATGTAACATTTTGTAACATTTACCATTATTCAATGTGATGTATATCTTTATTGTCAAACCACATAACGCATTATGTAACAAAATACGTTTGTTAAATATTTAAAAAAAAACACCGGTAATAGTTGTAGATTTATGTTGAGAGGAAAAAAATGGAAAAACTGAGTACACCTTTAGTTAGTTGACACTATCTATTTGGAAAATAATAAATATAAATTATTTAATAGAGGTGCATCCTAAAATTGAATCTTCGGCATTTTTGAAAAAAAGAATGTTTCCTTCATTAGTCTGTTTGAATCTGTAAATGTTAAATAGTAGTAAATTAGGTATTGTTGATGCATTAAGATATAAAAGATAAACAATTTTTTATTACAACTTATGTAATAATGCCTACGTTCGATTCAAAGAACATATTCCGAAAGGTTTTAGGATTAAATGGATTAAAAGCATCCAGCAGTGCCATCGCAAGACATCTCCTTGACACAGGACATGAAGTTGATATACTGAAGTCCTTCAAGGTGATTAACTCCAACCTTTTGAAATTTGCGGAAGCAGTAGCAATTAAACGTCTAAAACCAAATCTATGTATACAAAAAGAGACAGTAATAAATCTTTCTTTACCCTGTTAACAATAACCCCCTTTTTATTCATTTATTTCTCTATTTATTTATTGCGTCATTACTCCAACTCTTTTAATTTACATCATACATAACTGACTAATTTCAATTCATATTTTCTTTATTACCATTAATTTATTTTCATGAGTTCTAATCACTATTTCAATGTTCCGGAACTTTCCCTCTCAAACTCTATTTATTCGATACAAAAATTTTATGATCTCATTAACTCTATCGGAATCTTCGCTACGCCATGATACATTTATTCATCCTTAATCACCCTCTTATGTATAAATATGTCAATATCTGTAATAATGTTGAAGTTCAAGTATTTTAGGTTGTAAGCAGCTGATGAGAACCTAACGAAATAAAATGAATTCATATTATCTTTGTTCTTGCTCTCTTTAAAATAATA